GTTAATGTACCGTCTCTCTCTCCTGAGGTCAGAGGTCACTCACGAGGGAGGATGTTCATGTACCGTCCCTCTCTCCTGAGGTCAGAGGTCACTCACTAGGGAGGATGTTAATGTACCGTCTCTCTCTCCTGAGGTCAGAGGTCACTCACAGGGGAGGGTGTTAATGTACCATCTCTCTCTCCTGAGGTCAGAGGTCATTCATGAGGGAGGATGTTAATGTACCATCCCTCTCTCCTGAGGTCAGAGGTCACTCATGAGGGAGGATGTTAATGTACCATCCCTCCCTCCTGAGGTCAGAGGTCACTCACAGGGGAGGGTGTTAATGTACCATCTCTCTCTCTCAAGGTCAGGGATGTCGATTCATTACATGTATATAAAGGTCGCACAGGACAGTGACAGTGGCCAACGATGCTGCTCCGCACAGTTGTGTTCATGCGGAGGTCAGAGGTCACTCATAGCTGGACCGGTTATGTAACATCACTGTCAAGGTCAGAGGTCAGGGATGCCTGTGGAGGTCACAGGCCAGTGACAAAGACCAGGGCACGTCTGCACAGGGGTCAGGGGTCACTCACAGTTGGGGATGTTGATGCCGGCGGGGATCCCGCTGCCGGCGAAGGTGAGCACGTCCAGGGAGGTGAAGTCCGGCCGGAGGAAGCGGTCCTTCTCGAACTCCGAGGGCCAGGGCAGCTCGGGCAGCAGCACCTCCGCCGAGCCCACCAGCCGGGCGAACCGGGCGCTCATGGCCTTGTTGACCACCGCGACGAACCCTGCGGCAGAGGGGCAGAGGGGCAGAGGGGCAGAGGTCACGGACCACAGCCACGTCCCCCACCGGCCCCATCCGCCCGGAGCGCGGGAGCCGGGCCCGGCCCGTACCGGGATGGGGGGGGAACGCTGAAGAAAACCAGGCTGCCTGCAGCAGGCAGCGCTGGAGGCCAGCAGGGGGCGCCCTACCCATTTCACCGTACCCCCCCACGTACCTTCGAATTCTCCCCTGGATCCGAAGGGGTCTCTGTAGCTCTCGATGAAGCCGATGTAACTGGGCGGGAAGAAAAGGGACGGAGTTAAGACTCCCGTTCCACAGCAGAGCGATCCGTTACGGGCTTTTGCAAGCAGCGGGAACAGTTTCCAACAACGTACGCCATTCAGGCATAATTCCACAAAACTCTGCAACTGCCCCCGAGCCCATCCTCCCCTGCCGCCCCCCGCCCTCCGGCTCCGAAACGCAAGGCGTTCCCGATAGGGGGGCGCTCACCACTCCACGATGGGGCCGCGGTCCTTGATCCAGAAGCGCGAGCCCTCCTTGTGGGCCTCGACGGAGCCGAAGGTGAAGCTGCGCACGTACTCCTCCAGCATGCGCCGCTGGTTCTCGCCGGCCGCGTACTCCTGGCGCACA